GGGTCTAGAAAATCAGTTTCATCCAAGACAGCTTGGAGCTGAAGAGCATGCATATATAAAGTGCATACCTGTTGCTTTTCACTCTCTAATATAAGATTGGGCGAGATAAAATGCCTGTCTGTAAGGGGCATCTACTCATTTAATCATGCTGTCAGTCTGACCATTTTTCATTTCATTCTGTATGCTAAGTCATTTTTATGATTATTGGTAAAACGTCACAGAAAGTAAAGTGTCTATACTTAAAAGTTTTAGTTGTCAGAGAAGAACACTCTCTTCTCACATGTCAAAGTCAGGATTTCAATATGATTAACACATGGTACAATCTAACATAGCATTAGGTGTGCTCTTGCAAAAGATCCAATGTTCCATCACAGACTGTTCACAGACTACCAAAATGAAGAGTATACATTCCCTAGAAAAAAATATCTTGCACTTCTTAGAAATAAAAACCTCCAGAAAGCCATGTTCAACAAAGATTAGACTATATAACTGCATTAAATAATAATCAAATAGTATGTCCTACACTACCTTTCAGAGCTATTGTGGCTTTCACTAAGCCATGAAGCCCACTAGATGACCTTGGACAAGTCACATGCTCTCAGCCTCAGGGGAAGGCAATGGCAAATCTCCTCTGGAGGAATCTTGCCAAGAAAACCCTGTGATAGGTTCACCTTAGGGTTGCCATAACTCAGAAACAACTTGAAGGCACACAACAACAAAATCACCTTCTCTTTCTTCCATCACCTTTCCTTTCTCTTTCTTTCCATTTTACAGCTGGGTAGAAAAACAGCTGTCACAACATTAGAAGTATGCAAACAGAGATATTGTTATATTTCCAAATAATAGCAGGTTTTGCAATGCAAGGATCAATACTATAACAATGTTTTTTTGTGTGTATCTTCAAGGCATTTCTGATTTACAGCGAACTCATATTGGCATGATTTGCTCAGAGGAGGTTTGCTATTGCCATCCTCTGAAGCTGAGAAAGTGTGACTTGTCCAAGATCACCCAGTGGGTTTCCATGTCTGAGTGGGGATTTGAATCCTGGTCTCCAGAACTGTAGTCTAATGCTTAAACCATTATGCCACACTGGCTCTACTGGAGCAGCAATTTTAGGCCACATTTAGATGCACTGCAATAACACCAGAAGCATTTGCATGCACTTTATTGTTAAGGTACTTTCAACTCAACCCTGATACATGGCCACCTTATCATAGGGTTTTCTTGGTGCAGTTTATTCAGAGGAGGCTTGTCATTTCCAGGTTACTCAGTAGTTCACATGGTTGAATACTGACTCAAATCCTGGTCTTCCAAAGTCCTAGTCCAACACTCAATCTCCTACTGGCTCTGTATTTATATACACACATAGTCACAAGTGCTGACTCAGGCAGAATGGCTAACTCAAGTTTTGCATTTTTAATTTTGTGAGAATAATGATATTTATTAATTTTCTTGCTCCTTTGGATAGGTACATCATTTATTCTTGCTTGCTTTGCTTATAAAGAAAATGTTTAATGCTTTCATTTGGGCTACAATGGAAACACCTGTAAATCATAGCAGAGGTGGAGGCAGGAATGAGGTTTTGTCTAATTGAATAATGATGGACAACTTTTCATATTAGTTTAAAGGGCCAAGGGTTAATAAAATGCAATTGCAGCTGCTGAGAGAAAGGGAAGTGATCTATTGTACCAATTTATATGTGCTGCTTCTAGTATTTACCTGCATTTAAAGTCAAGAAATGAATTATCCATGCTGAAACCTGGTTGTCTGTAGTATGTCTTTGTGTCTGCGCGCGTGTGTGTGTATGTGTGCAGATGTGGGAACCACCAGCCACCGTACCTTCTCCACCCCATCAACTCCAAACTTATGTCCATCAGCCACGCCATACACCCCAATGTTTGGCCCCTCCTTAACTTTGAACCCAATATTCCCAAAACAAATAATCTCTTGTTAATTTAATATCTTCTTAAAACAGACTCTCAATCCAGAGGCAAACCCCAGGACCGACATGGTTCTCTCTAAAACAGTGGTTCCCAAACTTATTTGGCCTACCGCCCCCTTTCCAGAAAAAATATTACTCAGCGCCCCCTGGAAATTAATTTTTTAAAAATTTTAATAGCAATTAAACAGAAAGATATATGTATTAATGTTTCTACCTTTTTCGTAAACAATAGTAAAGAAAGGTGTAAATTAGAAACATTAAAGTTTGAAATTATGAAACTATTTATTGAACTTAGAATAAAAAAGTAACACAAAAAAAGTTAAAACATTCGAAATCATCTTAATTAGAAGGATGAACCTAGTATGCTGTTACCAATTTAGTAATCCTCGGCTCTGTTTTTATCAGTAGTAATCGTAAATCATCACGATTGACTATTTGCAATCGGTTTCTTTTTTTGTTAATAAATTGTTTACTGCACTGAATCCACGTTCCACTAAATGTGATGAAAGAAATGCAATTAAAAACTTTTGAATTACAGTCCATATTTCAGGATAAGCCGTAGGGATCTCCTTTTGCAGCCAGAATTGTTGGTAGCCGCTTTTGAATTTCAATTTCAATTTGTCATTTGTACTTACTTCCATCAGTCCTTCTTGTAATTGTGGAGATTCTTCTGTGTTTGCACTTGAAAAAGGATCCAAAATCCAATCAGGTATGCTCATTTTCAAAGTATCATCAAATCATTGATTAAAATCTGAATGGAGAGCATCCAAGTGCTCAAAATAAGAAAGTATGTCTTCATCTTTTTTTCTGCTCCTGATAAATTTGGGAACTGGCTGAATTCCCCTTCTCCAAAATTTTGTTTGTACAGAAGAAGTTTTGTCACAAATGCAGAAATAACAGATTTTGTTTTTATTAAATTCAGTTCATCACCTTGAAGCTGAAGATTGCTTTCATTCAGTTTTGGAAACAAGTTGGACAAGTAAGCGATGTCACTTTTGGATTGAATTAAATTGGATCGTAAAGCATCATTTTTATCTTTCAAGAACTCCAGCACCAAGTTAAACAGCTTATAAAACCTATCTGAACAGGCACCCTTTGACAACCAATGAACTTCTGTATGAAGCAGCAAACGATTAAATTCTTCATCATTTTCAATACAAAGCTGTTTAAATAATCTGTCATTCAATGATTTGCTTCTGACTGCATTGATAGCTTTAATTACATATTGTGATGAACTATGTAGGCATGCACTTAAATTTTTAGCAACTAGATGTTGACAATGGATGACACAGTGTAATGTGAATGTATTTGGCACCTCCTTTTTTAAATATGCAAAAAAACTCCTGTAGCGCCCTACCATCGCTGGAGCATCATCTGTGGCTACTGATAAGATATTACTCAGAGGTATTTCTTTTTCTTTAAAAAAAACTCATCCATGAACTATTGATTCTCCTTTAGTATCAGTTTGCAAATATTTAGCAAATAATAATTCTTGGCAAATTTGTTCTTCCTTTGTGAACCACATGTATGCTAAAAGTAAAGCTTCATTTCCTAACAAAGTTGACTCATCAAGTTGAACAGAAAACCGAGATGTTTTTAAATAGCCACACAATAAATCTTCAACATCTTGAGCCATTTCATCAATTCTTCTTTGCACTGTATTATTGCTCAATGAAATTTTCTTGATAATATCAGATGCTGGCTTGTGTAGCACAGTATGTATTACTTCACTTATAGCCGGTATAATTAGTTCTTCACCAATAGTATGAGGTTTTCCCAATTTGGCAATCATTAACGAAATATTGTTAAGAAGCAAGCAAGCCATCGCCATCTTGTGTGGTCGTGGTTGAAAAGAGTTTTGCCAATGTCAATTGTTTGATAAATTTTTCTTTTAGTGTTCGAAAATAAGATAAATCCTTATCTTTTTTATCACCATGAATTTTAGTCAAATGTTCTTGTAGTCTGGAAGGCTGCATAGCTTTGTTTGATAAAACTTTTTGGCAAATCAGGCACATTGGTAATGTATTGTTTACAGGCGACTCAATAAAGCCATATTTCAAATATTCGATATTATATTGTCTACATTTTTTCTTTGGTTGAGCCATTATTACCTGTAGAAAAAAAGAACAATTTTATGAAGGTATTTTTAATTAATATTTTCTTGTAATTTTTTGAAATATTTTTGTAAAAACAAACTAAAATAAATACTAATGAAATAAATAAACATGATATTAATTGTAAAGCACATATAATTATTACAAAATAAATAAATAATACTCACCAATTATAGGCACACTATTTGTTAGTTAACTTTAACTTGTCACAATATCACAACAATCTAACTTAGAGTTATATTACACCGTAATTTTCCCGTAATAATTACGGAAAATCTCCTGATTCATAGCATGCTCCAAAATCTGCTGGTAGTACTGCCAGTAGCCAGTACTGCTGCTGCCGTTCCAGGTTTTAGCCTTGCGATCGACCAATCGCACAAGTGGTAGTTGCCTGCAGCAATGCTCGTAGTGCTCACGTGTTTTGGAATGGCAAATCAGTGGACATGAACAGTAGCAGTGCATGATTGCACATACCTCAATGCAAGTGAGGGAGTATGCGGGAACCAAGCCAACGTCCAGTACGTTGTTCAAAGAAAAATTAAGCATTATGAGCGGAATACATAAATAATTTTTTCTAAATCTTCTCTTATTTCTTTTATGCTTTCACCAACCCCTTATAGTTATTCATCACATCCAAATGCACCTGTGGCCATCACCGCCCGCCTGGATTGCTGCAGTGCCCACCAGGGGGTGGTAGCGCCCACTTTGGGAATCACTGCTCTAAAAGAATAAACTGAGATCGCTTCCCTTCCCTAACCTTTCTTCCTGTAATTAGCAGTCATTTTCATACATCCTGGATAGCTTCCCATCTAACCTTGATTTTGTTTTCTTGTTAATATCCTTGGTTGTGCTTTCATTTTGTTTCTTGATGTTAACTACAAACACAAATGTTGTGTTTCAGTATACACATTCATGTGATGGCATGGAACCCAGGGTCCCAAACCAAACATAAGAGCCATGGTTATCTTCCATAGGTTTAGAGGAGAAAGGAGATGAAGGGTAGATTCATATATAAAATGCCTGTATAAAACAGGAACCAAACATTTGGGAGTACGCAATAAAATTCTCGGGGGGGGGGGACACATGTTGGGCTTTCTGCCAATAAATCATTCATCTATTGAGCACCTTGAGATGAGTCTCCAGTTTTTCAGTAGACCATAGTTAACTATAGCCATGTCAAGATTTAAGAAGGCTTCCTATTTCCTTCATAGCTATCTGCCAATGCAGCCAAATTATGTTTCAGTAATCCTGATGCATACTTTGATCATTTGGCATTGAAATGTTTCTACTCACTGTATTTTTCCTGCCTGATATCCTATAAGAATTAATTCAAACTGGGATTTATCCACACAGCAGAATTAAAGCAGTTTGACACCACTTCAACTGCCACAGCACTATCCTATGGAATACTGGGACCTGTAGTTTGGTAAGGTATTGAGCCTGATCTGTCAGAGAGCTCTGATGCCTCATCAGACTACAAATCCAGGATTTTGTAGGATAGAGTCATGACAGTTAAAGTGGTGGTAAGTTGCTTTAATTATGCAATGTGGATACACCCTGGGAAGAAGATATCAGTATTAGGGGATTCCATGAAACAAGCTACTGATACATCATGACATTCTTGTTTATTCAGTTGTGCCACAAAGACAAATGCATGCAAGGTAACCTATCACTAGGGAGGGGAATTCTCAGCCCTTGCCATATATACTCCTCCCTTGTGCTATTTATAAAGTATAAAGATTCCTCACCCCTGAAATGAAGAAATTGAGTACCTATATTTTTTCTTCCTTTAATTTTTTTTAAATGGACTTATCATTATGCGTTCAGCTCCAGCTTTCTCTATCCAGAACAATTAGTTCTATACTAGACAGCAAGCAAAATTAGACAAAATCTATGCCACAACAGCCACTGGAACAATGTCTGGGGGCGGGGAATTTGCTTTGAATTTTAGGATATCCAAGGGCATAAATCCTATTCCTCAAATAGGTTGAGCAACTTGGATTGATCTGTTGAAGTCTGGCCTGAAACCTGGAGCAGA